TCTTTTACCTCCGATTTTACTTCCTTAGATGTCTTAGGACTAGACCCTCACTTTAGCTTTCTTTTCCCTTCCTCGTAGTGTGTCCAGGGCGGCCCACTCCCAGTGGTAAGTAGACAAATGTAGGGACTTCCGGCTGAGCCCTGCTGGGTAGCGGAGTCAATCAAGAGGAAATCAGCATTAGGGTCAACTCTGTGGGCAGCCCCCAGCCTCTGGGATTGGAACCCATTCCCCACCAATGTACATACTCAGGGGTGATTCTGCACGTGTTGGTTTCTGGGACACGTGCCCAGCTAAGAAATTGCTCAGATTTCACTGGACATCGGTCACCAGGAGTATGGCAATAAAGAAGGGAAATAAAGGCCTGCTTCCATGGTGTGGTCACAGCGCAGCATCTGGGCAGTTAGTCTTTGAGGAGGCAATGCATTCTGTGTAGACACATTGTAGAAGCCATGAAGGGTACTGGTAGGAGGACAGAGCAAAGACCTGATACAAGAGCCCTGAGGGGAACCACAAAGGAAGACCATGCTACTCTGAAGGAATGTCCCCAAAGTGCTGAAGGAGAAAAAGAGAGGCTCAGGGCCTAAGAAAAAGGGAAATCTGGAACATTCTCTCTCTCTCTCTCTCTCTCTCTCTCTCTCTCTCTCTCTCTCTCTCTCTCCTTATTCTCTTATCAATATGTTGGAGAGAAGGAAAGCTCCTGGCTAAGAAACAAAACAATCCCTCATCCCAGAAATCACAGCCAGGAATATGAATTCTTAACAAGTGTCAAAAAGCATCTGAATAAGGAGAGAAGAATGCAGACACATCACTTCTGTTATAAGAAATGCTTGGTTTCTTTTAATCCACAGAGTCCAATTATTTTCTTTTCAAACTTACATCTATTGTTACACTTACTAATGGATCTGAGCTGAGGGTATTATTTCTCTATTAATTTGAGAAGCTAAAAAATATCTGTAATATTTCTCTCCCTCTCTCTTACCTACCTTCTATCCCATACTTTCCATCTAACGGGGAAGTGGTTCCTGTGTCCTTTGTCTTCTCTGTCCCTTTGCCTCCTGCTTCTAGAGTAATAAAATACAGCGTTAGTTATTTAATCCCATCCATCTCTTTCCATACACACTCTTAAACAGGAGGACAGGGTGGAGATGGGAAGGATTTCCAAGCAATGGGAAACTATAGGAGCAGAGACACGGAAAGTTTGTGGAAGGGGGGCTGGGTAGAAATGAGATAGGGATGCGGGGCCTACAATTAGTCTTCAGAGGCCTCTAAATGTCATATTTGCAAAGGTCTTTGTAGGTTTTTTTAAGGAACTTTGAGGAACCATTTCTTTTTTTTCCTTTTAAATATATTTTTTATTGTTTATAGTATTACAGATATCTCCCATTCTCTCCCCCCATTCCCGCCCTGAACTATTTCTTTGTAAGCAATAGAAAATGATAGAAAGCTTTGAGGAGAAAACAGAATTGATTAGTTTTTCTTTTGGGGGGGCGGGGGGTGTGTTGGTTTGCTTAGCTTCCTTCTCCCGCCTCTGCCCCCAACCCCTGCAAGCAAAAATCGCTCCACTGGGCAGGGAAGATAAATAGGAAGGGGAAGAAACTAAAAGCAGGCAGGAACAGCAGTTTGGAGGTTACTGCAGGACAGAAGCCCAGGCATTTGGCTTGGACTTAGGCAGGGGTAGGGGCGGAGAGGGGAGGGATGGTGGTGGACATGAAGGGCCAGATTTAAGAGATATCGACCTGACTTTGGTGCTTTTAGAATGAGAAGAGAAGGATAGGGACAGAGAGATGAAAAGCTAAGCAACTATGATTATGATTTCCCCTAGTCAGTGTGTGGATGATGATGTCATTAAGTGAAATAAAAACTAAAATGCAGGTGGAGGAGGGAGATTTAAAGGGAAGATTTAAAAATAAACTTGGAGTTTATTTGCAGAATGTCCCTTTCGGTGTTGTGCTGGTAAATGTCAACAACTGGCTTTCTGAAAAAGGAAAAGAAAAGGAAGCCCTGATTGTGTCCATTTCCAATGGGGTAAAGAGTCCCACCACTGTCTGATTTTAAGGAAGCCCAGGGGGAGGCACTTATTGCTGAGTTGGGAAGAGATGTACACATGCAGGTCTTCTGAGCTGGGCTGAGCCAGACTCTAGCACACTGCTGGTGCTGCTGGGTCCTCTGTGTGCGTCCAGGAGTGCAGCAGGAGGTGAGAGCTGGTGATGCAGGGTTTAAGTGGGGCCACGGGCATGCAGCACATAGAAATTAAAAGGAAACCAGTGTCGGGGGACATATGTATATAAGGAAAGAGGAGTCAGGAAAAGAACGTTCACAGAGAGACAGGAGAGGCGGGAGCCAGATTCCAGCAACAGGCGAACTAGTTTCAGGAAGGAAGGTGTGGTCAAGAGTGTCAGATACCAGAGATCAGGTGGCCTAGGCACTTAAAGGAGGTCATCAGAGTACCAATTAAGCAGGTCTTTTTTTTTTTTTTTTTTTAATGATAAAAAAAAAAAGCACTTGGACTCTTTTTAAGGAGGCCACTAATGAATTTGGACAGATCAGACTCAGTGGTGGGGAGAAGAGTTTGCCTGAAATGGGCTGGAGAGGGAATGAATGGAGGGAGTAGAGATGAAGTCTTTCCAGCAGTTTGGCTGGAATATTTCTATTTCTTTTCTCATTCTTTTTAAAAAGTAGCTATAGTAATTTTTGTCCATATCTTTTTTATTTTTTTAAAATATATTTTATTGATTTTTACAGAGAGGAAGGGAGAGAGATAGAGAGTTAGAAACATCGATGAGAGAGAGACATCGATCAGCTGCCTCCTGCACACTCCCCACTGGGGATGTGCCCGCAACCAAGGTACATGCCTTTGACCAGAATTGAACCTGGGACCCTTGAGCCCACAGGCTGATGCTCTATCCACTGATCCAAACCGGTTAGGGCAGGGATTACTCTTAGTGGGGGTGTTCTTGGAAACCATAGCCTTCAAAATTCCAAAAGGAATAATTTGGTGATGGAATATTACGCTGAGTTGCAGGTCAGAGAAGAACAGGCAGGAAGGGAGAAGGAAGTCTTACCTGCAGCACCTGTCCAAAGGCCGGCTGGCCCGCCTAGCAGCAGCATTGCTTCTGGCAGCATCCCCAGATCACACTTGAAATGGTAACACCTCCTCCAGGAGCTTTTCTTTATATCTAGAAAGTTAGAGAGATTGCTTTTTTTTCTTTTTTAAATTTTTATTTCAGAGAGGAAGGGAGAGGGAGAGATAGAAACATCAATGATGAGAGAGAATCAGCTGCCTCCTGCACGCCCCCCTTTGTTTAAAATACCATTCTTTCAAGGAGCTTGAATGAACAAAATTCATTTTCAGAAAACCCCGGTGAGGCAGGGAGAGAATACATATTTTCTCCATTTTACAGGTGAAGAAATGGAGGCAGAAAGCTGTGGATCATGTGGTTCAGTCAAATGTGACCCCAGAACCCAGTCTCTTAGTCAGGATTGTCCTTTCACCCAGGCAAGGGGGACCTCTTTCCTGCACCCTAAGCTTCGGAAGGCTGGGCTCTGGTCCTTCACAAACTCCATCCCTTCCTAAGTGTCAGCAGCCCGCAGGGCCATGGGGCCATGATGCCAGAGTTTTGGAACCCCACATTTCCTTGACCTTCAGGTCCCAAAGTGCACTTTCCAGGGTCTGCATGGGCCTCCTCACAGGTGCATGCACCTGAGCTCAAGTTGTGGCCTGACTATGTGCACGGAGGAAGCTTGTGCAGCGGGGGGTCCACATGCATATACTGGAGGCTCTTCCAGAATATGATGGAGCTGGAAGTGGGAAGAGAAGGGGTCTGGGGCAGGCTCTCGCATTCCATGTTCCTGCCAAAATGCAGATCAAACTGTGAGGAGTCTGAATGTGAACCTGCCCTTCCAGGTTGCTTCTAAGGTTTGATTTATGACTTAAATATTTAGACATAAGAATGTGGGCCTTCACTTGAAATCTTGCCTCTGCCCCTCAAATGTTACGGGCGGCGATGTTGCTCTTGACTGTTAAAAGCCAAAGTTAGAGGAAGAAGTTGGAGATCTGGGATGGTTATATAATTTTACACCAATGGGAGTCTCTAGCTGCACTTTGCAAATCTGTAGAAGCCAAAATACAAGCCTTGTGTATTTATCCCTGGGCACAGAGCAATACATTGGAAATAAAAAGGGGCTGGTCCCCATGGTTCTGTCCTGTGGGCTTCCTTCCTCCCCCGGTTTAGCAAGACCCTTTCCATTGGCTTTTCCTGTGACCTGGCAGGCCCAGGCTGGGAATCCCAAAGGCAATGGGTTGCCTAATTGAATATCAAAGTCAGGGTTTATGGTAGAAAAAAAAAAAATAAAACAACCAGTCAATTCCAGAGGACTGTCCGAACCCTAAGCATTTGAAAGGAAAGAAAGACTAGCAGTGGTTCTCAACCTTCTGGCCCTTTAAATACAGCTCCTCATGTTGTGACCCAACCATAAAATTATTTTTGTTGCTACTTCATAACTGTAATGTTGCTGCTGTTATGAATCGTAATGTAAATATCTGATATGCAGGATGGTCTGAGGCGACCCCTGTGAAAGGGTCCTTCGACCGCCAAAGGGGTCGCGACCCACAGGTTGAGAACCGCTGGACTAAAGGGTTGTTGTCGGGTGGTTTTCAGCCTGGCGTTCCCAATCGCCCAGCAAAGGAGAAGAAAGCAGTGTGAGAAGCGATGTCCTCTGGGAAGGAGAGAGACAGCCTCCCGAGCAGTCCCAGGCCCCGCATTTCCGGCTTGCCCTCGGCTGCCAGGCTCTGGCTGGGTCGGGGGGCGCAGACCGGGGACCCGGCGATGCCCGCAGCACCTCCCGAACCCCACTTTTCTCCCGCAGCCTTGCGGGGAGCTGCGGGACATCGCCCGTTTAAGGGGCGGGGCGCGGCTCCACGTGCTTTCTGCTGAGTGACTGAGCTACAAAAACAGAGGCCGGGGGAAGAGGGCGGGGAGGGAGGGAGAGAACAGGCTTTGACCGATAGTAACCTCTGCGCTCAGCGCAGCCGAATCTATAAAAGGAACTAGTCGCGGCACAAGCCGGGTAATTCCGAGGGAGACAGAGTGGGGCCGGGACCGCCGAGCCGAGCCGACACTTCTTCCCCCGGGCGCGGGTGGGCAAGGCAGGGGTCGCCGCAGCACCAGGGCCACCAGAGCCCATTTCTCGGGGCGCTCTGCTCCTGCGCTCCCCCTTCTCCAGAAGGGTTTTTCAAGGAGTGGGGAAAAGAGACGAAGACACAAAAGTGGAAAACAGGTAAGAGGCTCTGCAGCGACTTAGGCGTTATTGTTTGGTTTCGGGGCTGTGGAGGCTTTGGGATGCGCTGGGATGCGGGGACTTTAGTCCGGACCCCCACACCCTCCACCGCTTGCATTGAAATGGTGCGGGGTTACCGTAAATGTGGGGATGTTGTTCTAGGACGAGCTCTGGCGACCCGAAGACGCGGCGCTGCTGCTCTCCGGGCTCGCCCTGTGGTGAGCGCGGGGAGCATCTCTGGGCTTGGAGACCCGGGAGCAGTACCTTGGGGGCAGTGGGTTGGGGGGCTCCTGGTACTGCTGGGGGCACTGCTGCCGGAGTGGGGACAGTGACGGGTCCTGCACCGAGCGCCTCCCTTTGTTTGGAAGTGCCCGGGCCGGTTAGAAACGCCTCTGGGTGCGGGCCGGCGGGCGCCCACCGGGATGAATGCCTACGCTTGGTCCCCAGTCTGTGCTTTAAGAAGCTGGTCTGAATTGGGCTCTGACCCGGGGATCCGCCCGGTGCGTCCTCAGACTGGATGGGGCGTTCTTGTTCCCTAAGGACCTGCCCAGGAGGCGTCCCAAACGGGGTCTGTGGTGATACTGCTCACTTTGTTTGACTTGGGGGTCCTGCTCACAGTCTCCGTGCGCTCACCAGAGCTGGTGTCGTCCCTGGCGCAGCGGGACGAGCTTTATTCTTTAAAAAAAAACATAAGATTTAGAAGGTGAGCCTGCACAAACCGAGAGCTGGGGTGCCCATTGCACTGCGCCCCCCGCCCCTGCAGTCTTCCTGCCCTTTGCTGCTAGTCTCTTGGGGCAGCCTAAGACCGGGCATGGATGGAGAAGCTGGGGCGAGATGGTGCAGAGGAATGACCGAGAGTAACCCCGGCGGGCGGCGCAGAGCTGGGAGCTGCGCGCCTGGGCTGGGCTGCGCGTGGTGAGTGGGGGTGGGGAGCGCTGGGCCCGGGCTGCGGGTGGCCCGGGGGACTGGCCCGCAGCGCCTCCTGGCCGGGTGGCTAGGGAATTGGCCCTGTGGCTAGAGTGGGGCCGGGCTCTGCATGTTGCTTGCGGGCTCCAGCTGAGATTCCGTGAAGAAGGAAACCCTGGGGGTTCAGATGAAAGCCCTTCTGGTTGTTTTTTGTTAGAATGTTTCCTGACTCCCAGACCTCGGTCATTCGGAAGGTTCTTGCGGCGTGGGCCTGTGCCAGGGTGTGTGTAGGTGCCTTTTTTTTTTTTTCCCCAGCAGTTATTAGACAAAAGGAAATAAACAAGATTTTTTTTTAACCCTTGTCTTTTGCATCATTTAAAACCCAAGGCTTTTCAGTGACACCTCACAAAGTGAGAGGATGGTATATATACATTCATGTAATAGAGGACAAATTTGATATTTAAAAAAAACAAAACTTGTTTGTTGATGAAAATCAAGTCATTTTCTAAGGCCGGATTCTCCCCCCCCCCCCCCCACC